GCAGTTATCCAACTGTAACATTACTGATACTGGTCTTTCTTATTTGAAAGGTATTTTATAGTTGGTGTCATGTTGATGCACCAATAAATTCTGCTGCTCTCTCCTTAATTTTGTGTTTCTTATTTGTGTGTTTGTGGTAGATGCACACACATACCTCAAAAAATACCTTATATATAATTCGAAGAATAGGATGGTGACAACTACCTACATCATAACTATGATAGAGAGGAAATCCAACTTTGATGAATCACTACCATCTGAGCTGACGCTATACAGCTGCAGCAACAATTCCTGCTCCTTTTAAGGTTATTTCTCCTTTATTATTAGGTTTGTGCTAAGAAACCAAGAAGGGAAAAAATCTTATATAGAAAGGAATGTTGCTATGAGAGGGCAAGGAGATCGGCCAATGAGAGACTGGCAATCCCATTTGACATTTTCATACTGATTTATGCTTTTCTTTACTCTTATCAATTTTCTGGACTATTTGGGTTTATCTGCCATATTGCTTGTTTATCAGTAGTTTGTGAAGCTTAGTTGATTGGTCTTCATTTGTGCATGGCAGGCTTGCACAAGCTTAGTATGCTGAATTTAGAGGGATGCAATGCTGTTACTGCCTCATGCCTGGAGTCTATTTCAGGTTTGCTTTTTCTTTGTTGTTTTGTGTTTTCTAATGATTGTGTTAACAACATTGATAGTTGTCCTTAAGACTGCTATAGCTTTCGAAACAAAAGATTCACTTTAATATTTCTAAAAAAGCGTGCACAACTGTGGGTATTACATACATGTCAACAAACTTCTTAAAGGTCTGTATGGCACAATTTTTGTACTGTTATTTTAGGGGAATACGAGCATCCTATGTTTTGTTAAAATTATTTGTTTCTGGTGCAGCTCTTGTTGCCCTGACTTACTTAAATCTCAACAGATGCGAACTATCTGATGAAGGATGCGATAAGCTTTTGGGTGAGTGACAATAGGATTTGTGACCACATGGATCTGGTTATTTGTTTAACAAGTTGCTCAATTTTTTATATTTTTAACTGGCTGAGTAGTTGGTAATCTTGACTTTGCCACACTAACCATATTTGATTAACATATTTACTCAATTTTTGTCATTTTTATGTGGTTGAATAGTTGGTAACCTTGACTTTGCCGCATTAACTATGTTTCTACAGGACTTACGAACTTGAAGGTTTTGAGCTTGGGATTCAACAATATCACAGATGCATGCTTGATGCATCTAAAAGGTTCTCTCTCTCTCTCTCTCTCTCTCTCTCTCTCCTAACATCTTATTTTCCTTTGCAACACACAAGGATATTAGTTTGCATTCTGGGAAAGTTTATATCAATTTTTCCCGGTGTTCTTTCCACTTTTTCTGCTTAGGTGAAAAGGGGTATTCTGACCTGTGCAGCTAGAATAGTAACCTTAGAAAACAAAAGGGTATTTTGTTTAGAGTTGAAGATTCACCTTAAAACTATATTGTGGAAGTTAGAGCTTATTAGCAGTATATAATTTTTGTTATGATCGGGAGACTACCATATTGTGCTATAGTTTTGTTGGATTAGATCAATAGTTGCAAGTTCCTCTATGTAAGATCATACTCTTGTACATATTTCACTGAACTGTTCTGTATATTGTATTTTCTGGTCGCAGCTCACCTGAATGCAAGAGATACATTTGTTTTCAACTTTCTGATAGTAGTAGTACTAGTCATAAATTTGACTTATAACTGCTAATGCTTCTATCAGGTTTAACGAACTTGGAGAGCTTGAACTTGGATTCCTGTAAGATAGGTGACGAGGGGCTTGCTAATTTGGCAGGTTTGCATTTCTGATTCTACCATTTTTTGTTTTGGGTTGCAGTAATATGGTTTGCATGTGCTGGGTTCTTTTCCAATATTTTTAAGTGGTATGGAAGTGGGACATGGTGCTTCATTCATAACTAGCATATGTATTTTCACTAGCGCAAAAAATGTACGAGGATGGAAGATTGTTACCCTAACTATTTGCAATTGCATGCATTTAACAAATCTGACCGTGTCCTCTTTTCTCAGTTTAAATTGATAATTTCGCATGCATTTTCATTTTGACTCTCTTCTCTTTTCTGAACTCACAGTAGGGCTGCTTGTGAAAGGTTAATATCCAGGGTGTAGTTCAATGTGTTCATTAGATTCCCAACCCTATATTTAACCAAGCAGCTAAAATGATTGCAATAATGTGTTCATATTTCCAATTTGGGTTACTTTAAACTGTGGTCCTGATTTTTGAAATAATCTAACTGGATAATCAGTTCAAAGATCAGGATTTGGAATACAAGTTTTGTTGGGAAGTTTGTGAATGACTTTGCTTTATTTGCAATAGAACCTATCTGATTTTATGGTGTTCTTTTTATATGAAGGTCTGACACTCTTGAAGAACTTGGAGCTATCTGATACTGAAGTTGGAAGCAATGGGCTTCGTCATCTCTCAGGTGAGGACCCTGCCCACAGTTGGCTGTTTTTATTATTTGAATGTTATATATTTACACAAGGTCCCATTAATGTTCAAAGTTACATAAGGTCCCATTGTTATATTGATAACCCATCATCCCGTCTATAGCTTCTAACATATGTATTGGTCATTTAATTTAAATGATTTTTATTTGGGAGGATTGTCATTTTTCGCAGTTTATCCAGTTTAGAATACTTTGTTGTCTATTTATTGTTCTGCAGTTTATTTGGTGCATGTTCCTCATTACTGTGTTTTTAATGCATTAGTTGAGTTGGTTGGTTGTTGTCACTTCCAGGTTTGAGAAATCTCCAAAATTTGAACTTGTCGTTCACCCAAGTAACGGACAGTGGCTTGAAAAAGTTATCTGGGCTGACATCTCTCAAATCAATTAATCTGGACGCTCGGCAGATTACTGATGCTGGACTTGCCGTTATTACAAGTAAGGATTTTTGTGTATTTTAGTTGTACTATTCCTTTGAATGCTAAACTTTTATATAATTGGTTTGGCTATGCACTACTCTGGACTCGCAATCACTAAATTTAAGCCAAGATGTCATGAGGTCTACTTTGTATATTCATGTGGGATAAGCTTACGCTTCAAGGGAGGCGATGCACATTCCTTTTGTATCATTCATCTTTTAGCCCTAGCTGATGATTGAAGCATTGAGTTCCACTCAAATCAATATTCTTCTAAAGAAAAAACTTTATAGACATTTCTCATACATTTGTAATCACATGTTTAGCTTCACTCCCTTCATGTGTGTTTGTTGATGCCTGAACCCTTTTGTCCCATGCGTTGCTGATACAGGTCTTACGGGATTGACGCACCTCGACCTTTTTGGTGCACACATTTCGGATTCTGGAGCAAACTGTTTAAAATGTATGCGATAAGATTTGCAGTATGAACTTCATTTATTTATATAATGAAACTGTACTCATTCCTTGGTCTAGTAAACTAACTTTTCTCTGGATTACTCTCCAACTCTTGAGGGCATTTGAGAAGCCTGAGCTTCCTATGTGGGTATTACACGCTTGAGGAAGTAATCATTTTGATTACTCTTTTAGATTTTTCACGTTATAGTACATGCATGACATTTGCTCCTTTTTAGAAAAAAAGAAAAGAAATATTTTCGTTTCATTCATTACATGCTTTCCCCCATCATGAGATGGACTGTGGAATAGAATGGGGAATTTGATTTTACATTTTAACTTCTGCAACTTAGCAGTAATTTTCTCATTCTATAGTTCATACCTTTCTCTGTGTTTTCTTTTTCTTTTCTTTCTTTTGTGAAAACAGACTTCAAGAATCTTCAATCTCTTGAAATATGTGGTGGAGGACTGACTGATGCTGGTGTAAAGAATATCAAAGATCTTGTCGGTCTGACATGGCTAAATTTGTCACAGAACTGCAAGTTGACGGATAAATCCTTGGAATTGATTTCTGGTATTTTGGCTTCTCTTTTCTGGTTTTCTTTTCCTAGAGCTGTTGTCATATAGAAACGGTATCATTAAGTCGTCCTAAGTTTGATTTTCTTCTCCTAGAGCATTTGGTGCATTGCGTCAAGGATCTTTTGTAGCAACTCTAACCAGATTCAGCCCCTCAGAGCCTCCCTTATGACTCAAAGAAGATTTTGTTTACGATCAAACTTAACATTCTATTTTTGATTCATCGTCTAACCTTTTTCTTATCTGTGAAAATGCAGGATTGACTGCTTTGGTGTCATTGAATGTTTCAAATTCTCGCATTACAAACGAGGGGTTGCAGTATTTAAAGCCATTGAAGAATTTACGTTCGCTAACCTTGGAGTCTTGCAAGGTGACTGCATCTGAAATCAGGAAGCTTCAGTCTGCTGCCCTGCCTAATCTGGTCAGCTTTCGGCCAGTATAGATGGGTTGGATGGTTTGCAAGAGAAGATACTATGTAAATAGCCTTGCTATCTGCTTGGATAGCTTTGTGTACAGGTAAATAACTCCTTATGGAAAGATCAGAGGGGCCAAGATTTCATGATGGAAAAACCATTTTGATAAATGTATAGATGGCCTGCCTATATCTGGATGGATAATTTGTTAGCTTCCAACTTTGAATCTATTTCACATAAGAACGTATATAAGGATTGTATCTATGTTAATTAAAACCATATTGTGCCGTAACTGAATGGAATACTATGGTTGAGTTGAGTTTATATTTCTTGAAATGAACCTCAATGAGAATTGTTACATACGAGTATGCCAAGTTCAAATATACGAAGGTGTATGAAAGCAAGGGGTAGATTTTGTTAGGGGCGCGAATTGGGTTGGATTGGAACTTCTAAGCATCAGTCAAGCATGTTTCTATCCTTGCAATTATGTTTATAAAGGCAATTTTCCATTGCAAACGGCCGCACAAATGAAACCAATAAACCTCTCAAATAGTGCAAATACTATTTTTTTTTAATACTAAAAATATTATACTTTAATCTAATCTAAATTATGAGGAGGAGATTTGAACACGGGTACCTGTGTTTGGGTGGCGCAAACTACTCTTAATATCAATATTAATATTCTCGATTTACTAAAATAATACATCACCAATCTTTAGAGCACAAATTTACTAATAACAAGTAACATTATGCAGATTACAAGTCCAGAATAATGAGTGAAAGTAATTAAGCAGCTGGTGAAAACTCTCTCCCCATCGGATAGTGGCAGGCAAGGCAGTAAAAGAGTTAACAGTAAAAACCCACTTCTCTAATCCTGAGTCTTTCATCTAATAGCGTCACAACAAACCCAACTAAACTTCACGAGAGAGAGCATGAAGAGTGTGACTGCCAAATTCCAATTCAATTCAATTCAACTTGAGGGTTTGCCCAAAATGAAGCGTCTCTTCAAACAGATGCCCAAGGATTTAATAGACTTGGGGGGCTTTTTTTTTTGTTCCGGCGCTTCCCGTTGCGTCTCTTTTCCACTAGTCCCTGCTGTGAAACACACCCGTAGGCTATACATCATCAGAAACCACAAAGACTAACAAAAACTACTCTAAAAGACATGCAGAACTTGATTCATGGTTTGGCATTAATAAATAAAAAGATTTCACATACATCACCTTTGTTTTTAGACGGGGGAAAAATATCAAGCAAAGCTGCAGCATGATTCGCTTATATTTAATGAAGGAATCATCAAAGACAAGTGTTCCTCTTCTTTTCCACTCATTTTTTTTAATAATTAATAATTCTAAAGCAACTTGATTAGGGGCAATGAAAGATGGTAAAGTTACCTACCTGGCACCTTGTTTCTTCTTCTTCTTCTTCTCCTCCTCTAGGTTCGTTATCCTCACAATCTCTGAGTTATAAAATCATATAAACAACAACTATGTAGATCGAATTTAGTACAAGGGGAAGAAGAAGAAATTAAAGAGAAACATGAATTCAAGGAAGGAACTTACGCAGAGAAGCTGAAACCGATGTAGAAGTTGAATGCAAGGTCTTGATGATGCAGCTTCCTTCTCCTTCATCAACAATTCGGAAAGTGGTGATCGTCACGACATTGGTTGTCAACGGCAGTCTGGACAAGACAAAAATCCAAGTTCCCCAAATGAACCATACACTCTGCAATATGCATTATTCTCTATATGACGTATAATACTCTTCCTAGTATTTCAAACCCTCTAGTGTCAAGGGTTTGCTTATAGAATACATACTAGAATCGAAGGAGAACTTTGTAACCATCCCAAACCTGGAGGAGGATAGAGCATACATGTTATCTCCTACAACCAAATACGGATCCAGAGATCCTCATCATCATTCTTATCAAAAACCTTACTTACAGGATGAAGCACTGGAGGTGGATCTTGACCGTGATCTCGAATTGATCCTCCTGGTCTTCCCCCCATAATTGCTCCTGATCCTTGTTGGATTTTCACTTGGTATAACACACCTAGATATGTTTTTTTTTTTTTTAAGGATTACACCAATATGAACACAGAATTTATACTGTGTACCCCTACTGCTCCGAACGAGACAACCCCCCCATGTGCAAGCTGGACAACATACTCTTTGTTTCTAAGGATAAAGGCAAAGCAGACTAAAATACCAACGGATAGGGGAAAAATGAATCCACAGAAGAAAAATATACATCCGTTAGGGTTTCGGGGAGTTCGGCATTGCTCTTATTAGAACTTTTCCTATCGAGGGAGGCGATAATATATTAAACTCACACACATAATATATAAAATACGAAAACATTCACCCAATTTTGTGGCATATGAATTTTGCTTTTTTTATTTTTCTTGTAGGAGGAGGGCATTCCCTTTGTTAGGAAAAGGTTCAGCATTGATAAAAAGCCGGAACCTTAACTCAAAAAGCTAACATAAATGAACAAAGAGTTATGTATTAATTATTGTCTTCTTTTCTTCCAGGAGGTTAATTCATCTGGGATTAATTCTTCACTACATGAAAGCACAGCTTGTGCCATCAACTTCCCAAGCCAACCATGGTACAACAATCCCCTTGAACCAAGCCCTCCAAATAACCAGTAGTTGGAGGTTCGGTTTTTGCCTACAATGTCATTGACACAACCCAAAAGGGGAAGTGAGCCATGAGGAGTGAGTGGTGGCATTGCCCTCAGGCCAGCCCTGGCTCCAGCAAAGCTCCAATCCTTTAGAGCAGGAAAAATGGCACATGCCTTTGGCAGAAGCTCGTTAAGGGCTTCCGTGGCTTCATCTGCACATACATTTGGTGACGAGTTTCTTGATTTCCATTCCCATGTTGAGCCCATATATAAATTTCGAGGACCTTGCACAGCAAGCCAAGCATCTGACAATATCGAGGGGCCAAGACTTGGATACTCCTCTCTTCAAACACAGAACTTTACAATATGAGTTCGTAGATATAGAATTAGGTCATTCAGCTACCAAACTATAAAGGACAAAAGAAAAAACAGAAATGTCAAATGAGCGATGAAATTTTATCCCCTTTACTAAAGCCTGTTTTATACAAATATAATGCAGAGAAGAACTTCACCCTAAATGATCAGGAAGCTGAAGATGTGCAACGACACCTCTGCATGTCCTCAAAGGAAGCCTCCCACAAAGCTCAGGAAGCAAGTCTGCTTTCGCACCTAGACATACTATTACTGCCTGGTATTCCCCTAACATCAACTGTAATTAGACACTAACTAAACATGAAAAGATAACTGCTCAGAAATTATTGAACAATCAAAGTTACTAAATAAAAAGTTAGTGTTTTAAGACACTAACAACATGAGCCTAATTAAAGATTGAAATAATGGTAGGGTCATTACCTTCTAGGTCTAGGAGTTTGTGGACAGAACTCTTGTGCAAATGTAATTCTTTTACTCCGAAGCCATCAGAAAATAGTTCCTTCGCCAAATTTTGACATGCTAAGAAGAGTGCCTGGAAAAATAACCATGAGAACAAGAAATTAACACAAACAAAAAGAAAACAAACGTTACTAAAAAGATAGGAGGGGAGAGGGGTCGGGGGCATAAATATCCAGACCTGTAAATAGCGTTGAGGATGAATATTAACAGCTTCAGGCATATAAAATGAGGTGTTGAGAGGTACGCATATACTGGGTAGAAGATTTTGGGCAGCATCGTTGTCAATGGTTTGTATTCTGCAACTGGCAAGGCAATCCTGGGCATTCTAATGACATAAAACAAAATATACTAGGATCATAAAGAGGTCGAAAATCAAGTGTTGAAGCTGTTGTGCTAATAGAATGATGAGGGAGAATTACATCTTTCAACAACATCAAGTTCTTCATGCTCAGGGCTGGTCTCAAGATGCCCCTGAAGAGAACAAATACAAGACATGCCTATTAGCTAAACTAATGCAAAGATAAAGAGTGAAAGAAAACCTTTCAAGATGTTAGACAGACTAAAATGCATAAGTCTCTCCCCCCAACCCCACAAATGCTGCAAGTAGAACACAACCAAAGATTTCAACTCTACTTTCAAAGTTCCCATAATTCAATTCAATTTACAAATATTCCTTTTCGTAATGGACAAAAATCCAATGGAAATTTGAGACCCAATGTCAACATAACAAACATGAATATTGTGTTCAGGGTTTGAAATGGAATGAAGAAAAAAGCAAACCTTCTTCTAACAATTGGCAATAGGTCGTCTTCATTAGGATTTTGAGCAGCAGAAGCTGCTGCTGCTTCGGCAACGCTCAAAAGGTTTAAAGATTCATTCCAGCAGTCGGCAGCACGCCATAGAAGCTTGGCTTTAGGGGAATAAGGGTGAAGAAGGCCTCCTGAAACGCCCGATGCACCTCCTCCGATTCCAACTTCATCGTAAATGTCAATGCGTATACGCGAGTCTTTGGGACTCTGCTTTAACAAGTGCCACGCAACTGAGAGGCCGGCGAAGCCAGCACCAAGCACCGCGTACCTCACATAACTCGGGCCAAGACTCGGAGGACGCTGCCGCTGAGTCAGAGAAACCGACGAGGAGAACCGAGCTGAACAAGAATAACAAGAAAATGGTAAAGTGGTTCCTCTGGTACTGTGTACACCATGACCCATCCTCCCTCCTCCAATTCCTCTAATACTCGGTTCCTTTGGATTTCGAATGGTGTCCACTTCCTCTGTTATGCCTGCTATTACTGCGCGCAGCTTACCCCTTCTCTTTTCTTTTCATTTGTGTGTTTTTTTTTTTTGGGTTTTTCTTTTTCTTTCCCTTTTTTTGGGGCCTTTTTTTCTGTCCATTTTCTCATTACGAAACACACACCACCTTTGGTGGTGGGCGGAACTAAACTGAACTATTTCAATGCAAATCAACAGGAGTCAATGCTGTTTTTTGGTGTGCTAAGATTGAAAAGTCAACGTATAACCCAACAAGTTTAACGAAATTGAAGTTTCAATTGGAGGAAACATGGCTCACGCATTTGACAAGGTGCTCCCAATGCTTGTGATAGTGTAAACTGCTTAGAAGACGAATGTCAGAACTCGGATTTTGGAGGCACCCAAAATTTCAAATTTGTATAGCACTAGAAAATAGTCCAAGTTGCTCCTTTTATTTCACATCATATAAGTAGACGACACTAGTGCACAGCTAAGTTAAGGCCCCATTTCTCATTAAAATTACACAAGCAATAGATAATTGTCCCGTAATAGCTCACTGTTTATGAAAAAGGTTAGAAAAATATTACAAATACTTTTATGCTTTACGTAAAATAAGACGTCTTTCTCGCTTGTATTCAACTTCATCCCTCTGGTGCATAATTATAAGAGCTCTTCTCACCTGCCATAATAACAATGATATCAATGAATGCACCAATACAGACTTTACGATTCGATTATACGAAAAGATGCGGTTTGAAGCAAATGGACGCCCATAGGATTGCTTCTGCCCATTAGTTTCTTAATAATAGTCTGTTCGGTTAAAACAGTGGTTCTTCTGGTGTCCATTGTTTCTTGTTCCACAATCACAACATTATCATTAATTTTATTCGAAGAAATAATTCAAATTGAAAAGCACCAAACGTTAAGGAAGCATAAACGGTAGAGACATTATTGGGTACGAAAATCATTTTCTAGAAAGTCACTGTTGTTCTAAAGAATCAGATTTTCCAAATTTGTTGTTCGTGTACGGACGCAACTGTAATGGATATATAATTAAATGACTACTTACAATAGATTCATTCATCCCCATTCTTGTGAGCTCATCAATCAGCTTTCTCTCTGATATGTGGTTCCCAATGCCTACTCTTCTCCTTATCTGAGTTTCAGCTTGCTGTTTAAGGGAGATAAAAAAGATTACGCACACATGGAAAAGAGAAAGAGAAAGATAACAGAGCGAATGACAATCTCTTGTTAGTTATTTTATTATTTTGTTCTAGGATTGATGGCAGTGACACAGTTTCTACTAACCTTAATTTCGTTTGCCATCTCAGCAGTAAGATTGATTTGTTGATTTATTCCAGACTTTGCTGCATCCATTGTGGACACGGTAAATAGTCTTATTGCTTCCTTAACATTATCCTCAGTAGCAACATGGCACCTGAACCATAATTACAGAAACAGAGGCGGTTCAATAATAAAAACAGATGCAGTACCCCTCTAAATTTGACATAGTAGCGTTTTTATTATTACAGCTCCAGTCCCCATTTTCCTGTTATTAAACATTCCAAACTGGAAATTCTAAGCACCAATCAATATCACTAAATACTTACAGTTTCATTTTTGCAAGGGCCTCACTCAATCTCACAATAGCTTCCAGCTGCCTTACAGTGATTGGTATTGCAGTAGCCTCCCCGGTTTCATTTGCTTGCTGTCTCATGTCCTATAAGAAAATTCACGAAGATGATGGGATTCCCAAAAATCTTTTAGCAATATGCATTTCTTTGGGCACCATATGAGGATTTCTGGTATGCCATCTGCTCAAGAATTTTGAATGCCAATTGCCTCAATAGTATAAGCTAACAGCAAGAGTACCTGTCTGATTTTCACATAATTATCCTGCAGCTTCTTGGATGCAGGTTCTGATAAACGGGGGTGACATTCAGTACGACAATATTGTATGTATCTGCACATGTTACAAGGAAAAAGATTCAGCATCTTGTCAATATTTCAATTGCATCATTGTGCAAAGAATGTACGACCATGTGCTTAACACTACATACCTCTTCAGCCAATTCTCTTCTTTAGATACTACCCTATTGTCACCCAGTGCTGCCCCAGCAGACGCATGAACCTTTATGATATGACTTGCTATAATCTGTCATTGAAAAGCAGAATCGAGTTGATGCACCTACTAAATGAGCATTTTTTAATAGGAAACTCAATATTTATATTGATGAAAAGACCGTACAATCAAAGTGGACTATACAACCCTCTACCTACAATAAGCAGCAAACATATAACACAATAACTGACAAAACACACTCAACCCAACATCAAAGAGAAAGGGTCCACCCAAACTGCAATCAAACTAAGACACTGCAAGGAGAAAGAAAGGGCAGTTACTAAATGCAGATGAAACCAAAGCACAAAGTGAGGACCAAAATCTAGCCTTGTCCCATATACACACACAAGACTCCCCAACCTTGCCTTTGATAATTATGTTATTATTTTCCAACCAAAGCATCACCAGCACACTGCGTCTCCACAAAATATTTGCCTTCTCAACAAAACCTTTCCCTTCTCACCATCCAACTCCATGGGCATTTGAAGGCCAAACAAGAATATAAAAATATGCGTTTGGCTTGCAGTTAAGTTGCATGTCACCAAACCTGAACCTTCAACACAAACTTTGGACTAACCATTGCCAGGTCCAAGCAACCGATCATTATCGTATTCAACCATAATTTATAATTAGTACTAAGACATTCAAAGATAAAAGAACATGTTAGGTGTTGACATGCCACAAAGAAAAAACAATTGCATTGACTTTCTGGAGAAAAAATGCTTCAACATTAAAACACTTTAACCTAGCAAGATCATTATAAATACCTTATCCTGACTGTACATCCTGATATCTTTAACAATAAAGATCAAGTCAAATCTAGAAAGAATCGTTGTCTGCAAATCTATGTTATCCTGTGCAGTCTGAAAGAAGGCAAACGTGTTAATTAATTCTCAATAGGAAGTCACAAGTAGCATTTTAAACTCTTAAAAGAGATAAACCAGGATGATAATGGACCTTAAGATCATCATAACGCCCAGATGGAGGGTTAGCAGCTGCAAGCACAGAGGTTCTAGAATTAAGAACAGTTGTTATTCCTGCTTTGGCAATGGATATGGTTTGCTGCTCCATGGCTTCATGAATAGCAACCCTAAGCCACATTAATGTAAGCTCTTAGAATTCCATAAATAAATAAAAAGTGAAGCAAATCAAGATCTATATCTAGTCTGCATTACCTATCCTCCGATCTCATTTTGTCAAACTCATCAATGCAGACAACACCCCCATCTGCCAAAACCATGGCTCCTCCTTCAAGATAGAACTCACGCTGGGTTGCACAGATAAATTGAAATTAGAGAAGTTTTCATACCAAAGGAAAAAGGACAACTGCCTAATCAATAAGATAACAATGGCACTTCTATGTACAACCCAAAGAAGATTGAAACTTACAGAACTGCTATCCCTGATCACCGAAGCTGTAAGACCAGCAGCTGATGACCCTTTTCCTGAAGTATACACAGCTATAGGAGCTGTCTTCTCAACAAACTTGAGAAACTTCACAAATGAGTTGAAATCAAATCAGCATGTGTCTTTTGGGGCAATGGAAGAAGAGCATAAACTATCTTCATTAAATTTTCATGTGGCTAGGAAAAACAGGTCTCAAATTAGCTGGAGATACTTTTCCACTAAAATGAAGGATAAGAGAAGATCACAACGTTCACAGTGTTCTCTAGGACTTGTATATTTCCACTTAGCTTGTGGAAAAATAAAATAAATTTAACAGAACCAACCTGTGATTTAGCAGTAGATGGATCCCCCAAAAGTAAGACATTGATATCACCTCTTAGCTTCACACCATCAGGCAAATTCTGTTTACAGACAAATTCGTCGGTTGGTTGTTACCATTGGTAAATCACACAAGTACTAAAAGACCAAAATTCAGGATATACCTTTCTAGATCCCCCAAACATAAGACAAGCCACGGCCTTCTTTACGTCATCATGACCAAATATAGAGGGAGCAATCTTTGAGCATATACTTGTATAGACATCAGGTTCTGCAGCAAACTTTTTGAATTCTTCTATCTGAAAACATATGAAAAATGGAAAGACAAAACCATGCCATGGAATCAAATCCTTCATTTATCAGGGACATTGTGCTCTTCAAACATCACAATGAGTTCGACCAATACCTCTTCTTGTGTAAAAGAAGCGGGACCTCGAGAGTGGGCATCATTTGCTTCTTCTATTCCTACCACTCTGATGTAAGGCTGCCTAACAGCAACTGCTCCTTTGTGGCTATATAGAACCAAATAAATTGAGCATTAAAAATCAGCAGTGAAGAGTACCATACAAAGACACTGAAATATTCATCTCAAATTATAACAATTCTCACGAAGTGGAAGAATTGGAAGCTTGATAGATGCTATAAATGCCCATGATGGTTAATCTTGTCCCAGGCACAATTGTCTGAACAAGATGGCGGTCCACAGACAGAAGTATATTTCTTGGAAGCTCTCCAGTAGGTACATCCTTCAGTAACCAAGGAAAAAAAAAATCATTAATTAAATTAAGACCCCCGCAATTCAATTTAAACTTCTTTTGCTCATTAAATTAAGATCATCACCTCTGGGTTCTCTTGCAATTTTAAGGTTTGCTGATCAACATACTTGCTCTTGTCAGGAACCACAACCCATGGATCAAGGGGACAAGGTTCTTCTCCAGGCTAAGAAAATTCCAACCCTTTTATTAAATTTCAAACTAGAAAAGAAAACAATGCAAAACAAAAAAAACCAGAAAAGCAGGAACAAATAAACAAGGATAATAAACCTGAGGAATATGGTTACAAGAGCGGGGGACAATTGCCCCGCCAAGGCCTGGCCGACAAGGTACTCTCTGCACATTTTTACAGTTTTTACACATCACAATCACATAAGTCGCCTTTGCCTTGACCCTTGAAGCAGCTATAGTGATCCCGGCAACCTTGACAAGTTTCGATATACATTGTGCCTGCACATCAGCAATGGTTAAAGAAAAATGAGAGAAATCATCGCCTAACCTCAATAAATCCCTACAAAAGCTCAAATTCTCATTCCCT